ATGTTGAGTTTCAACAGGTTTTATAATCTTATATGTTCTGCACGAAAATGGTTTCTCACTACCATGTACAGGAAATGCAATAACGATGGTGGTACTACGGATGAATGCATCTGTGTGTCTTTAAAGACTTGTATGTAAAGGTTATGGTAATTACTAATGCATGGCACTTGCATGCTTATGATTCAATATTGGTGCCATTACTATTATTTAGTTGTTAATAAGCGGAGTTCATAGTTTTATGGTGTAAACTAGGGTTTTCAGATGTATTCAGGGACGGACGGAGGGAATGGGTGGGGTAGTCATATTTGGTAGTAGTCTTTCTTGGAAATTCAAAATAATTACATATTTTAGATTTCTATGTATTTTTTATTAAATGATTTCTTAAATTTGTCAATTTTTAATTTTAAAACTGTCATTAACATAAAATTATGCTTCTATCACTGGTATTGATTGTGGCCTTGCGTATGGGTTCATGTTCCGTTATATATGTGTAGGGGTGTTTATCGAGCGAGTCGATTGTAACTTAGGTAGTGTTTGATTCGTGCTCGTTAAAAAGTTTAGTACTTAAACTTTTAATTTTGATTCATTTTAGTATCTAAACTATCAATTTTTTCAAAACTTAAAGTAAAATTTTGAAAGGTGTACAAATGAAAAAAAAACCAAAGTTTTTAATGATGTAGTATTAAAATGAAACAAAAATTAAATTTTAGGTATAGTTTTGAAAAAATCGAAAGTGTAAATACTAAAATAGGAATGGCAGAATGACCCGAACCCGACGGGGAAACCTTAAATCCGGCTAAGTTCGGGTCGGGTTTGAATAATATCGGGTCGGGTCGGGTATCAGGGTAAAATTCGGGGATTTTTTGGGTTCGAGTTCGAGGCAAGGTATCCCGCCCCGATATATATATATATATATATATAATTTTTTATATTAATTATATATAATACAAACAAAACATTTAACCTAGGTTTCGAGGTTATATGAGATTCGATTATATATAATATGTGTGCGTAAAGTTGGTTGTTGAATGAGATTCGAGGTAAGTCGGTAACATATATTCTATATTAACTTATATGTCATTTCCTTTTTTAATAATATTTGTGTTAAAGGATAATTTATGTTATTTTGTTTATATAAACTTGTTCGGAAGAGACCGAGGCATATTGTCGCTCTGTTGAATATGATTATTACGTGGATGAGGTAAATAATGTTTATAAAACATTACTATTTTGGTAACATGCTTTTATAATTATTAAAGTAAAATTTGGTTGATTTATTAATAAATTTCTCAATGTAGGGAGCTACCAAAGAAAGTGACAAAAGTGGTACGACGATTTTGGATGATTTTATTTGACTTAATATTAAGTATGCATCTTCGTTGTATGATTTGAATATCAGAACAAGTTTGTATTTAATTATGTATGCGTTTTATTTTGGAGTTTAGACAATTATTTAGAATTGAGTTTGAATTTGTGACTGTAGTTTGAATTGTAAATCATGTAGACTAATTTTCCAGTTTTTTGTTATCGTTTTTCTATTTTTTATGAAAACTACGACAGCTCTGTTTTTCTAGGGATTGGGTCGAGTTCGGGTTCGGGTACAATATTTTGGGTCGGGTTCAGGGACGGGGCAAAAAAATCACCGACGGGGCACCCGGATAAAAAACCCGACGGGGAACGGGGCGGGGACGGGGGGAGCAAAACCGCCCGTTGCCATTCCTAACTAAAATGGACTAAAACTGATAGTTTAGATACTAAATGTGTAATTAACCCATAAAATTCATTAAATATTAAATCTTTAATTTCACTATGAATAGGAGTAGCGATGGGCATGGGACCTAAACCCGCGGGTTCTAACCCAATCCGACACGATCGGGTGGATTTTTTTAAAAAATAGTGTTGTATTTTTTTAAAGATAATGTTCGGGTCGGGTCGGGTTTAAGGTGAAAAATATTCGATCGAAAAAAATAATTTTACCTAATATATTTATGGATAATTACAATAATACCCCTCTATATATTATTTTTTTAATTAAATCTCTATTTTTATTGAATAAAAATAATTTTTTTATTATTTCGGGTTGAATCGAATTCAAATTTTATCTTAAAAAATCGAGTCCGATAAAAATATATTTTTTGATTAACCGAATCCCGACCCATGCCCATCTCTAAATAGGAGGCAATCAACTATCTAAATAGATTACTTTGGTCTGTCTTAAAGAGAAAAAGAAAAGAAAAAAGAGGGATCAAATTATTGGCTTAAAGATGCATTTGTAGTTACGTAGAAAACAATCGGTTTTAATTAGTACTTTTAAGCGAGCCGAGATCACCGGAGCAATTCAACTCTCACCCTAAATCAAAGCCAACACTTCATGACGTTCATGACTCTCAGCATATATCCGAGACTCCAATAAATAATAATAATTTTTTACTTTTAAGGTCATTAATTTATTCAAAAATAGCTAAATTTGAATTATTGGTAGCAAAATAATTATATATAGTAGAGAATCTGTCATACTTGTTGCGGGAGTGAAAGAATATGTTTTATGTAAAAAAAAAATTAGAATTTTTATTTAATGAAAATTATAGATATAGTGATAGAAAGTTTAATAAATTTTATTTATATATTTAATAAATTATTGAATATTTAATAAAACAATTGACTTTTTTGTCATTTCTAAATTGAGTTGGTGTCTGATTCATTCTTGACATAAATTCAATCAACCATTTAATATATACTAAAATTTACCGTACTCACGATTTGAGAGAATAAAAATATTTTATATTAAAAAAAAATTTATAAATTTTTTGAACAAATGAACGTAGATTAAGTAATAAGAGATTTGTATATGAGTTTATTAGTCTTATATTTAAAATTTAAATAATAACTTTTAATTGATTTATTCAAAGATTATGTAACAGAGTGGAAATATAAAATGTTAATAACATTAATTATTAATAATAAAAATATATTTTAATATGTTTCTTATATATATATTAGGATCCACTTACACAATGTAAAACTCTTAGTTTTACACAGATTTAGGACTATTTGATGAGTAAAAATAAACGGCTGAGATTAACTCCCTGTTTTTTTTTTCAGTAAATATTTTATCATTTTCTACTTTTAATCTCAGTCATCTGTTTTACTAATCCAACGGTCCTAAATCTATGTAAAATTAAAAGCGTTTTATATTGTATAAAAGGATTCTGTCCACCAACGGAGTTTGTTCAAGTGATAAGCAACTTGATATTGCTTAACCAATGTCTCAGGTTCGAGTCATTATGTATGCAGAAAATCTTTGTTAGGGGACTCACCCATCAAAACTAGATGTACGACCTGGGTCGATCCAGATTAGTCAAAACAAAGCCTTGGAAATGGAGAGCAAAAAAAAAAAAAATCATGTCCTATATCTCCTCCTTTAAATCCGGTGATATTAAGCTATTAAACATATTTAATTTTACAATATTGTTGCACCAACAATGATGTAGATCCGATTAAATTCAATTGATTTTTTTATTATAAAATGTTGCTAGTTTTATTAAAAATAGAAAATATTTAAAGTTACAATGAAGATTTACAAGTATATTCGTAAACTTAAAATATAATTATGACAATTTTCTATTACCATTGAGACAAAAACTAACTACCTAAATCATATAAGGACCAAATAATGAAAAGATTAAAAAACCTAACAAAAAAACTCGAATAAAATAAAGATACGAACAAATCTGACTGCATCGGTAAACAAACCACAAAAGGTGATGAAGCTACTGAAAGACCACCGACAAATCGTAAATCAGAATCAAGCGACGCGAGAAAACTATCTACGAACGCAGAATGCGTATCCAAATCAATTCGATGGTCCAAAGCAGGGAAGATCATCATGATAACAAATAAGCTTAATCTTGATCAGTCGTGACGATGTCAAATCCAACCCAGAGAAAAAAGATAAATAAAAACAACGACAAAACCGTAAACAACGGTAAAAACCCATAAGCTTCCAAAAGACAGAGAAAAATATGTCACAAAGACGGAGATAAACGTGTTATAAAGGCAAAGAACATGTCACAAATATATAATTATTCTTATTAAAAACTAAAATAAATAACCAACGGGCGGCAACCATCGTTAAAATTAGTATCACCGTCAGTTAAACAAAATTAAAGAAGAAAAAGTTGAATTAATCAATAAAATTGATAAAGTTGTAAATAAGAAAAAAAGTATAAACAAAATTAAAGAAGAAAAAGTTGAATTAATCAATAAAATTGATAAAGTTGTAAATAAGAAAAAAAGTAAAAGAGAGGGGACGGAAAAAACGGCTATGATATTTAAATTATATATTTTAATTTAATTAATATTAAACTAATTTATAAAACCAACGTGATAAATAATTTGTTTAGTTTACACAGACGTAAGATTATTGGATTTCCTTATATAATGTAATCTTTCTTAGTTATATAAAAATTTAGGATCGTTTGATACGTGAAAATATATTGTTGAAATTTATTCATTGTTTTTTAGGGAATATTTTCTCATTTTCCTAGTGTAATCTTAGTAGCACGAACCAAAGTAATTTCTGTAGTAAAGGAATCGTTGTTATACCTTAAGGACTCGAATTCGAGCATTATAGATATTAAGTAAGTGTGTGAGATTTGTTATCAAATTTCTTTAAAGTCGTATTTGTGAAAAAAGTCATATTTTCTACTTTTAAATATTAAGGAAGAGAGGAGAGAATAACGCTTTTAACGGCGCAAAGAATGGGTAAGAAGAAACATTCTACTTTCATTCGCATCAATTGTAGGATGAGCCCCGAGAAAACAGGCGCCAACCCATGAAAACCGGAGATCATGAAACCAAGAATTTAGGGTTTGAAAAAACTCTGTCCCACCACCCAAAACAAAATGCAAACAATCATAACCGAACATGCTTGCCACCCCATACTCCGAACTTTTCTACCTTCTTTATCTAACTACCACTAACAAACCAATAAACAAGAACAAATCCCAAGCTTATATAGTATACGTTTGTGAAAAATCTTTGTTGTGTACATATCGGCCCTCATTCAGCAATGGAGGTAGCTCGAATGAGAGCCTTCCATGGCACAGCAATCATCGTTTTCCTTTCGCTTTTATCGACGGTGATCCAGGCGGCGAACTACCTGAGTCCGGCGAATCAGTTCATGGCTCCACAAAACGCGGCACGGGCCGCCATTAGAATGCGGCCGTTGGTGTGGGATTCGAGGCTGGCACGCTACGCTCAGAAGTACGCCAACCAGAGGAGGAAAGACTGTGCCTTGAGGCACTCCAACGGACCCTACGGGGAGAATATCTTTTGGGGTAGCGGAAACGGGTGGACGCCGTCGCAGGCGGCGGTGGCGTGGGTTTCGGAGAAGAAGTGGTACAACTACCGGTCGAATTCGTGCGCCGGAGGGCAGTCGTGCGGGCATTATACGCAGATCGTGTGGGGCGGAACCAAGAGGATCGGGTGCGCCAGAGTGGTGTGTGATGGGAAGAGGGGCGTTTTCATGACTTGTAACTATGATCCTCCTGGGAATTATATCGGTCAAAGGCCATACTGAAATGCTTAAATTCCGTAAGTGAAATGTTGTGTGAAATTTAACCTGTCACGTTATGATATGTGGGGTAATTACTGTGTTTTATATGTAAGTCCTTTATGAGACTTATTTAAATTTTCTGATGTTCATATCATGGTACGAGGTTTAAGTCATTGCTTAAACACATGAATGGTACGATCAATATATAAAAAGCTGTCGGTTTTCGTAAGAGTTGGTTTTTTTTCAATTAGTTGCAGGATGATGATACCAACAGAGTTGATTCAAATGGTAAGATCTTGATATCGGTTAAGTAAATTTTGAATTCAAGTCTTTGTGTATGTAGAAAATTCTCGTTAGAAGAATTATCCATTAAAATCGTGTGATCCGAGTCGATATGTTAGTCAAGGCATAAGTCTTAGCATCCCAAAAGTGCAACAAAAAAAAAATAGTTGTAGGACTATGCACTTCCGAATGGTAATAATATAATTTGATTTTAAAATGCAAAGAGAAAAAAATTCCGATCTGCAGGAATCGAACCAGCGACCTAAGGATAAACTGAGGAAAACCCACTACAGTTTTCTCTATGGTTGAGTTCTTAAGAATACATGTAAGAACAAATCATTAGGTTTAAACATGATATTGAAAAAGACAAACTTAAAATAATTAAATTTAATTTAATGCTCCAGCGCCACCACATGGTGGGGAAGGGAATGTCAAGCAATCACCACATGCAGACCCATTAAAATGATAATATTTTTTTTATTAATCTGAGGTAAGTATATGATATTATCTGTTTTAAAATAACTTTTAACTTTTTGAAAGCTCATAACATCTATGGTGCTTAAACCTGGGTTGGTTCGTGTTAAAATAATAATAAAAAAATGGGGATGGTCAAGAGGTGTTAGACACAAATTGAATTGCTTGATGGTCATATATTTGTTAAGGATAGTAATGTTATCTTATTTCTTTCCCATGCCTTTGTAAGCGTGTAGATTATATAATTACGTTTTATTGTATCCATAATGTTTTCTTTATAATCACTTTAGATTAATTAAAAAAATTAACTTTCTTTGTTATGATAATTAATTTATTTTTCTATATATATATATATATATATATCATTGAAGTTGTTTCAATAGTTAAATGGATGATTGTTATCCTTAAAGGTTGTGAGTTCGAGTATCATCGACTACAGGACATTCGAGTATTTATAGTTAAATGGTTGAAATTATCTAGAATATATACTATCTTTTATAATCAAGCTCGATTATTAATAATAAAAAGAAAGAAATATATAATTGTTCATGTGTTAGATGTGCTTCCACTGCTTTTTGAGTTCTTTTGCACTGAGTAATTGTGTATGTCTTGCACCAGATTTTTATCTCAGTAACGCTTTAAGAACGCTTTCTATTCAGTATTTGCAAAATTGCATCTTCGTTGTTATTCATGCTAGGAATATAATGGTACTATTGAAAAAATAAATTATTAATGCCGACTAATAAAATAGGGTAATTAAAATTAAATAAGAACACTCTTAATAAAATAATAAATAAAAATTTGATGAATGCGAAGAGAAAAATAATTCCGACCTGCCGGATTCAAACCAGCGACCTAAGGATTATATGAGGAACACCTACTACAGTCCTCCGCTCTACCAACTGAGCTAAGGTCGGATTAACCGTTGTTTTAAGTATTAACTATTTGTTAGTTAATTTTTAGGTTTGATTTGTACTATTTTATTGGTTTTCGACCAAGTTAATTATATGATTCACCTTAGAATCTCCTGTTTAGTTTCTCGCATTTAGTTTCCCTTGTCAGGTTTAGGAAAGGAATTTGATTTAAGTGTATTTAGTATATATGACATAACATAACGGTTGGGAAATTACAATTATCCGGTTAGTTAAACTGTTTATTTTATATATATATATATATATATATATATATATATATATTTAGGTTACGAGTTTTAAATCCATTAAGAGTATTTCCCTTTTTTGACCCTCAATTAGGATTAAGATTAAATTTAATATTTATCAAAAAGAAAAATATTAGTTAGAAAAATTGTTATTCTTCGTTGTCTCGATAAATATTGTTTACTTTCATTTTTGAATAAAATATTGGTCTAAATTATGTCTCTACTCAATTTGAGTGTTTAAAATATTGTCCGCTCAAAACAGCGATCTAAGTTTACATATTAAATTTAGAATAAGAAAAAACAAATGATCAAAAGAACACATAAACTAAAAATTCCAAACCTTTGAATAAAATATATATGAAAGTTCTAAGTTTTTTTTATAGAAAATTTGATAAGATATGAAAAAAAAACAAAGTTTAATTTTCCAAAACTCAGATATTTGAGTGGGGAAATATAAACTTCGAGTAGAGGAAAGAAAGAAAATTTGAGATTTTTTTTCTTTTAACGGTGTTTTCAAGTGATAATATTTATTTTAGAGAAAAATTAAAATAATGATTCATTTAATTACAGATATAACTTATTCCTGCAAGAAAAAGTTAGAATATGCAATAAAAGAAGAAGAGAAACAAAATGGGAGAAACTCTAAAGTATTATATATATAGTGGTATTCTTATGAATAAATTTAAATTATATAATATAATTAAAGATACTTGAATTAAGTCAGATCAGAGATTTTTTATCTCAAACTTGACCTCGATCCAAACTTGAAAATCTTATATATCAAGTTCGTCTCGACCTGGATCTAAAATTTAAAAGCAAAAACTCTGATTTTACAGAGTCCGAGAAGGTCAAAGCCTATCAGATCCAAATTAGATTACCATCCAATAGGCTTAAATATAAAATAGGTGCCCAAACTATATCGTTTTTTCACGAATATGTGCCTAAAGTATTTTCTAACTCATCTCGGTGCCTAAACGTTACAAATAATATCATTTTAAGTGTTTGAGCCGTCAACGACAAATTTCTTCCGTTAAGTGACGTGTCATAATTTGCTGATTTTGAAATTTATTTTTCTTAAAAATTTTAAAAATATTATTATATTTAAAAAAACCTATTTCCCTTAAATTATAAAAAAACTCCAAATCCCTAAAATTCTCAAATCCTAACTTTAACCCCCACCGCTTTTTCTGGCCACGATCAACACCGTCGATGTAGTCCATGTCATCCTCCTAGTCATACGCCATAGTAGTTGTCGTCGATTAGCTGTCGGAATCGCATGGGATCGTAATTTTCATCCTAGTGTTTGCGGGTAGAAAACACCGATTCATCGTTGATTGGTCACAATTTCATAGGGATTTTGGTCATCGGGGGAGCTGAGGTCAGGTGGAGTTTCGTCGACTGCAAAGGGTAACCGTCGACGTTGGATTAGAGGTTGAAATGAATATTTTCAACATGGTTTTCAGGACCGGACCGGTTAGCGAACCGGCCATGCTACCGGTTCACTGGTTCAACCGGTCGAACCGGTTAGAAGAACCGGACGACGTCATAATTATTTAAAAAATTAAATACAAATACCAAAAATATTTAATAAAAAATTATTTTTTTAAATCACAAGTCATATTCAAAGCAAGTCATAACATATATAAATTAAAAACCATAAAATCAAGTGAAACAAAATGATTCAAATTAACTACAACATAATATTTAAGGTAAAACATATTAAATAATAAATATAATTATATAACTATAATTAAAAAATAAATTTGGGGCTAAAAAATCATAACAAAATGATATTGTTTGGTTTAATTTTTTTTTAAAACAATCTCACATGGCTAAGAAACATAGAAGAGCATCCCAAAAGTCTAAAGAGTAAAAATATGAGAACAAAACAATCCCACATTACTAAGAAACATAGAAGATCATCACAACTAACTTCTATAAATAATAGAGGTAATTTGACATTCAAAATCATGGAACCTTTTGGTGAGCATTAAGTGAACTATTCTTTCACTTCAATCAAGCTCAAATTTTAGGCTTCAATTGAGTTTCTAAATTTTTTTTTAGCTCAAGCCTTTTTGAGTTCAAGTTTCAATATTATATTTCGAGTTCGAGTTGAACTTGATAATTTTTAACTTGTGAGTTTGAGTGGAGTTGAGCTTACTTTTAAAGTTTTCAAGTTCGAGTCGAGCTCAGCAATACTCGAGTTCGACTTGGCTCGTTTAACAAACGACGTTTGGTTTAATTTTAAAAAAAAAAAAAACAAAATTTCCGATTTTTCCGGTTTTTTTTGGTTTTCAGCCGATCCGGTTCGAACGGTTCTGACCGGTTCACTAGTAGCGGTTCAACCGGTTTAAATTGAACCGGACTAGGCAACGATTCCCAGTTGAACCGGCCGGTCCGATTTTCAAAACAGAGATTTTCAAAGTTTTTGGGTTATTTCAAAATTTTTTTTAAAAAAAAAATGTAATTTAATTTTAAATATTTTTTAATATCAGATTGTAAAATATGTCATCTAATGGGAAGAATTAAAATCGTTGACAGTCCGAACACCTAACATGATAATATTTATAACTTTATGTATCATAATGAATTAAAAAATACTTCAGATACATATTTATGGAAAATGATATAGTTTGACTACTTATTTTATATTTAAACCCACCCAATATGACTATGTTAATGTTGCGTTGGGTCAAAAAACTCTTCCGAAAAAAAATAAAGAGAAAAACACATTGCATTTCTCACCCCTCTACTTTTCAGAAATCACAATTTTACCCTTCTCGAAGTTCCCAACTCCTCTTGCAAGCAGGCCCTCTCCTTTTGTAGGAGTAGGAAATCGAAAGGGGTGCTGCTTTGGAGATCTGATCCCCAAAATTCATGCACTGAGAGAGTAATTTTGTGCTATATTTAACCAGATGGGTATAATGTTTACAAAATTGTTCTCTTCACTCTTTGGAAACAAGGAGGCTCGTATCCTTGTTCTTGGCCTTGACAATGCCGGCAAAACCACCATTCTCTGTATTCTTTCTCATCCCTTGCTTCTTTTAATGTTTTAAGCGATGCCCATTTTTTCATGCGAGGAATTATGCAATGGGCAATTTTTTGATATTATTGAGGGTTTGGTTGCAGATCGGCTCCAGATGGGTGAAGTTGTCTCCACAATACCA